ACTGGTTGACTGAAGTGGAAGGCAATTCAAGGATGGCTAGGCAGTTTCCCAGTAGCAGGGCTCAAGTCCTATTTGTCTGTTTATACATTGAGCTGGAGTTTTGGTTTGCTTAATAAGTAGGAACCCAGGCCACAGGAGCAATTAGATTAATAGCATATTGATTGATTTTTACAAGAGTATATGAGAAGGGACACTGAGCTTAAGCCTCATAACTTGACTCTGTCCCAAGCTCTGCCTCTGAATCACAACCAGACAACCTTGGGCAAGCTATTTCCTTTTGCAGGCCTTGGCTTCCTCTGCAAGATGGAAACCATAATGGATACCTGCCTATTCTATCCTGCCATGATTGTTTACAGAGTAACTAGAGAAAGTGCTTTCTAGACTATTGGGGGCTCATTCAATGAAATACTAGCCAGCAGGGCAAATACATCCATTCCTCTTAGCTCCAATCTTAAGGACTGTTGGTATAGAATTCAACTCAAAAGAACCAAGGCATCACATATTTACAACATTCCCTAAGAACAAACCTGTTCCTATAGTCTTTGTGTACCTGGCACTCAGGGCTCAGGGTCTGGCTCTAGGAAGGGTTATGGTAAATGGTCTGGATGGAAACAAGAAGGATGGGCTATGGAGTGGCTTCAAAGCCTTGCTCATCATGTGGGCATATACCCACAAACCTAACTCCAGTTTGCTAATGCCCTGATGGTAACTGTGAAAGCTTGCTCTGATGTAGCTGGGTACCATGCAAGCCTCCCCCACCACCTGACTGTACTGAGCTGTAACATTTAGGATCATGGGCTTTGTGTGTTTTATTTTATTTTACTTTACTTTTAAGTCAGGGTATTGCATGGCCTTCCAACCCCTGATTGTTGAGATTTTAATTCTTTACCCACTCCAGAAAGATGATGAGCTTTTATTTATGCCTCAAGAAACAGTTTTGGGGACTGGGAAAATGGCTCAGTCAGTAAAGTGCCTCCCAAACAAGCATGAGGACCTGAGTTCAGATGGCAACACATACATAAAAATCAAGAATGGGAGTGGACACCTCTAATCCCAGAACTGGGAGGTGGAAATGGGTGGATCCATAGAGCTCATTGGCCAGTCAGTCCAGCCAAATCAGTGAGCTTCAGGTTCTGTGAAGGATATTGTCTCAAAAAAAAAACATGGAGAACAGTTAAGCATGACACCAGACATTGATCTTTGACCTTCAATCGGTGCACACACAAACATGTACACATCCATGAACCATGCACGGCTTTCACTGAACCTCTTTCACTTGCAGATCTTTTTCTCATCTCACTTCCAAAGCCCTTTGGAAGTCAACCTTGATGAACTCACAGCCCACTTGTCTTTGATCCTTAGTGGGCTACGCTAATAAAGAGAAAAATGTCCTAACCACCTCCTTTTCTCTGAACCTGACCTCATTCTTCTCGCTCAGAAGTGAAGACAGACTTTCTGAGGAAACAGGGCTCTCTTCCAAATACTACTGGGCACACAAAGGAGCTCAGAAAGTATTCTCATGAAACATTTTTAATTGCATGCTACTTATTGGAAACTCTGCTAATGATTTGGGCATTGCATGTTCCCTCCATCCAGCCATGGTCTATATCCCCATCAAGCTTATACCTTCCTACCACAAAGAAAATGACAGCCCATCTCATATGTTTTCTGTGTTATGAATCCTAGCTTTGTAAATGGCATCATTTAAATGCATAGTTGTCTGGTAGCCTTTTGGGAACAAAATGAATGAAGACTCTATTCTGACCTGGACTCACACTACTCTGTATTAGACAGAGCTCTGGCACATGTAGGACTTTAGAACTGAGGTAACTGAGTTTTGCATATCATCCAGTATCTCCTGATCCTAAGGCCTGTGACTCTTTGGTCCTTTGACTCTGCCATTTTATTCTTTTTCCTTCAGGCTCTTCTCTATACCATTGGTTTTGCTTGGTGTTTTTTGTTTGTTGTTGTTATTGTTTGTTTGTTTTATATATAAGAGTATTTTACCTGCATGTATGTCTGTGTACCATGTGTACAGTGCCCAAGGAGGCCAGAAGTGGGTGTTAGATGCTCTGGGACTGGAGTTACTACTGAGAGTTCAAGTTGTCACATAGGTGCTGGGAATCAAGCCTGGATCCTCTGGAGAAGCAGCCAATGTTCTTAACCCCAGAGTCATCCCTCCAGCCCCGTTTGCTTTTTGTCCTTCATTGTGGAGCTGGCCCTTTGAGTCCCTGGCATTTCTTCTCAAATGTACACTGCTCTTGTGAATCCAAGTTCTACCATGTTCTTCCTTCCCAACCTAACCCTTGTCTGAATAAAGTTTCTTGAGAGGTGGTGATCTGTGCCATAACTGCCTTCTTGGGTGGCACTTTAGGAATTCTGTGCCAGGCCCATAGCTAATGTGTTTGTGGTTCTCCTGGCTCACAGGTGAAGAGGACCTGAGCGCAGAAGAAGATGAGGAAGTGCTGACTCTGTTGTATGACCCATGTCTCAACTGCTACTTTGACCCTCAGACTGGGAAATACTATGAGCTGGTGTAGCTCCCGCCTCCGGGGCAGAAAGCAGCCACAGCGGATGGATGTCCACAGTGGGCACCAGGACCTGTGTAGGTGGGCCCAAGGAGTCCAAAGGATTAGAAGGAAGAAGTTCTTTGTAGATAATGTTCAAGTTAAGAACGCCTGCATTCACTTTGTAGCTGTGTGTGTGACTTGAAACTTGTGAAGGAATTAATGCAGACACCAGAATTCAGGTTTTGAATTTGCTCTTAGTCCATCCCTATCCTCTTAAGTCTCATTATGTTATATAAACAAATTAAGAATTACTTGTTCAAATTTTTCCAGTGTTAATCTGTAATAAATGATGGCTTAATACACTTACAGAAAGTATATTCTTGTTTAAAAGATGTCTGAAACCTTTTTTTATAGTTTGTTTGTATTAAAATAAAGTATAGTGGTCAAAAGGCCACTTCCTTTTTTCACCCTGTTGTCTTTACCAGATTATTCCTAGGCAACTTCTTGTTCCTTTGGAGTCTTAGGAAACATGAGCTGGTCAGACTTGGGGATTGGGTTTTGGGGTGTGGCCCCACTGTGTCTTTGCAGTCTAGCACCTGGAACATTTGCAGAGCGCACAGGACTGTTCATGTTAGACTGCTCGGCAACCTGCCTGCCTTTATCCTCTTTCACCACTTGTTTTTGAATTCTAATACTTGAGCTCTTTGGATCCAAACTTCACAAGCAGTTGCCATCTGAACACCCTTTCATACCTCACTTCTTCTCTGATGTGTGACTACAGAGACCTGGGTGGCTTTCTTTTGTCTTTAAGGCTACATCAGAGCAGCTCTGCTTGTATCCCAAAGCAAGAAGTGTGCATATCCTGCATTTACATAGATGGCCTTGAATCATGCCAAGTACATTAAGACTGAGCTGGGGAATATCTTATTAACAGTTGTGTTTTGTTTTTTCATAGAGGTTTTTAATAAGGAAAGGTACTGTTAGAAATCAAAAGTTATTGGTGTATGGTTGAATTTAACAGCAGTGCTCTGATTTTATTTAATGTTGCTCGATAGAGGAAATAAGAACTTTTTTCCACAAGCAGATTGGGCTCCTGTCCAAAGGATCATACATTATTTAAAGCCATGTTTGTGCTTGATAAGCTTTTAATCCTTTTTCTCAAATTATACCTTTGTTATGAATGTCTCTCAAATATCTTTATGTTTACAAAATGAAAATGAATAAAACAAGGCTTCATAGAGCATGCAAAAATTATAAAAGATTTAGAGTTGTTTGGGGGGGTTGTTTTGTTTTATTTTTTGAGACAGAGTCTCACTATGTAGCCCTCTGGCTGACTTATAACTCTCACTATGTAGATCAGGCTAGCTTCAAACTCAGAGATGCATCCATCAGTGCCTCTAGAATGCTGGGATTGATGGCATGAGCTAACATAACCATGTAAATTGGAGTTATCCTGATTAAGAGCTTCAAGACTGAAATGGGGTTTTAAAAGCCTTGTTCCTACTTTAAATAGTCTTGAGGCCATCCACAAATGTAGATCATGTCCTTCAGAAGTTTATGTTAGTTAAGACTTGCAGTTACATCAAAAACATAATCTGCTTATTAGGGAGGAGGGTAAGGATACAAGAATGTATCATGTATCCCAAAACAGGATGCTTCCAAGTTTCCAGGCAAATTTAAGATGAGACCCCCAAGAACAATGGTAAACTCTACTGGGATTCGTTCTTTGTAAGCATATACAGCATTCAGCTCAGATTCAAAGACTGGTTGAACAAGTAAGCAGGAGATCTGGGTGGGAGTCATGGGACATCTGGGTGGGAGTCATGGTAACTGCAGCGTGATCCCTGGAGCTGCAGCAACTGTCCATGCCTCATGATAGTTGGTCACCAAAATGGCAGTGGTACCTTTTCCTGTCTCAGATTTCTGCTTAAGGAGCAAGAAACCAATGAGGCAGGAGAACAGGGCCAAGTTAGGTCCTAAAAGCCTTATCAGCTGACTTATGGGAAGACCAAACTGGCAAAAGGAAACCTAGGAACATACTTATAGCCCAGACCCATTAAGACGAGCAGGCATCTGACTATGCACAGTGGCGTTCCAGGCTATATGAAGTACTCTGACTTATTATAATACCAAAATGCACACCCCAGGTGGATATTTAAGATGCCAGTGAGATATGTAACACATGGAGTTTACAGGTCCATATGTAGAGCTTTTGGCCAGATAGTCTGCACTGGGAGCCCAAGAGGCCAAAAATCCCATGCAGTACAAATGGGCCAAAAACCTGCCTGCTGCACTCTGTCTGTTCCAGCCTGCTGTCTCCCTGCAAGTGTATCTTTGTCTAGCAAATCTCTCCTGTTACAACTATGTCTTCTACATTTCTTGTTCAGGAACATTAAGAACCTGGAACCCCCAAGAGTTTTTTTTTTTCCTCAGATCTCTGATGGTATCAGACAATGTCACTAATAAGCCTGCCTTATCCATTTTCCACAGGGCCCTTGGGATGAGGGTAAAGAGTCCCTAAAGGAGAAAGGATGCTGTTAACTTACGGAGAGGGGGTCAAGGAGACAAACACCAACCAAGTTTACCCTGGAAGCCTAGAAGGTTATCTCTGCCTCTCTGACTCATCTTGCTCTCTGAAGCTCTCTCCTCATAACTCATTACAAAGTCCTTAGGCCAGGACACTACACTCCCATAACCAACCATGGAGAAATAGTGCTTCCATGTTCAATTCAGAAATGCAACTCAGGATAACAGCTGGTCAATTTTGAGGCAAGGGCCACCAGGACCTCTTCTGTGGATGAGAGAAGAAGGCTGTAGAAGACCCTGTGAGCTGAGATACCACTCCAAAGGTGGCTACCACAAGGTCTGATTAATCAGCCTATGCATTTATCCTTTTTAAAGCGTAGCAGATGGGCATTTTGCTACAGAAGAGTAGAAAACTGTAAATAGATGTCACACTACCAATTTTAAGCCAAAATAGTACATTCTGTTTATTTGGAAATTCACTAGCTGGGCTTTACTTCACTTTATCAAGTTCTGTTGCCTATTGGAGCTTCTTGGGAACCTACACCTAGGTTCTACATCCACAGAGTCTGACTTGGCTGGTCCCAAGTACACCTGGACATTGGGAATTTATGAAACAGCAATTTTACTTTGTGGTCCAGGCTGAGAGTCTCAGGGAAGGCTAATGGCACGTATGCTGGTGGGAGCCATTCCATAGCATCCACATATTTCCAAGGCCTTAGTTTCTAGTATGTGTCACTTATATCTAGAACTGATGGCTGCAATGGACACTGAAAACAGATGGGCTCAATATGGAGCCATATCCTGAGGTAATTTGCTCTCAAGCTAGCATCTGGTTTAGTTTCTTGTTTCCTTTAATCGGAATGCAACTTACAATGATTTTTAGTCATGTCTCTAAATGATTATTGAATTACAGATCCCAATTAATAGGAATTATGAAAAAGCAACTGTCAGCCATGCTTCGTATCCTATCAATGATTCAGTGTCCTGGAGATTATGATTGCTCTCTGCCTTCCCCACCACACCCCCAATGTGCCTCACTCCCCTTCCTATTAATTTGTTTCCTATTGAAGGAAAAGACTCTTTAACATGCATATGCAGAGTTTGGCAAAATACCTTGCCATATAGTGTCTCTATATTTTTTAGATTAAATTTGTTCAAATCACTTGTTTCAAACACATTCTTGGTTTGGACTTTTTTAGTAGAAACTTAAGAAACAAGATTAGTGGCAACACAAGAGTGCAAAACTCAAAGAACAATTAGTTAAAAGAATTAATTTTAAAATTCCTTTTGGCTTTAGTTAAAAATCTAGCTGTTTGGGGGTTTCTGGGCTGTTGTTTTTAAAACGATGCAATGACAGAGAACACTTGTTTCCCTCGGGTTTCGTGTGGTGCCTCAGTCTTCTAGAGTTGCTGGAATTTGGAAGTTTGGCCTCAGCTATGCTCCCATTTGTGTGGCAGCATCTCAGTTTCATACGTCATTCTTTTTGCATTCCAGACAGGTAGTCATAGAATCCTGTTTTCTCTAGTTCTCCTAGTAGGCAGGTTGGGGCAATCATCTAATTGGTGAGAATACTCAAAAACTACTCCTACAAACCTCTGACTTTACAATTCAGGTTGGAAAGCTGATTTCCCAAAGGCACTCAGTTGCAGAGGGCAGAGTGTAATCCATGATGGGTGGGTTCTTCTCCCACTTGGAGGACTTCAGATGAGGGTTCCAGGGTCGATGGACCCCATTCACACTTTGCCGGGAGCTTGGGACCGCCGCTCTCAGTTCTCTTTCACAATGCAGATCCTGCCTTCAGTTGTCAGAGGGGAAACTCGACGGGCTCACAGCCGTTATGTGTCAGGGATCAGCATTGCCCAGTGTGCCTTCCAAGAAATAGAACTTCCGTTCCAGATCAGGAAACACAGTGGGAGTGGAGAAGAGGTACATGCTCAGAGCAGGGAGGCACTAGACATGTGGGATTGTCATTTGTCTCTATAGAAAGGTTCCCAGTTGGTGAGTGTGGGGAGAAGAGTGTGTGTATGTGTCTGTGTCTGTGTCTCTCTGTGTCTGTGGGTCTGGGGATGGGGGTATGGCACCTGAATTTTCTTAGGAAGAATTTTAAAAATAGATCTGTTCACCCTAAATCGGACAGGCACTTAGAAACCAAAGAAAGGATTCCAGCCAAGTCCAGTTTAATGAACCAATGAAGCAAGTGGGGTTCTTACAGGTGCATGGGTAACTCAGAAGCTGCTACACCACCAGGAAGTCCCCTGAGCAACTTACTGGCAGCTACACCACTGAAGAGTCCCACCCACAGCAGGGGTAACTCACAAAACATTTCACTTCTGTAGATCCTGTGGGCAACTTGCAGGGAGCTACACTACTGAATTACTGCTGCCAACTTCCCACATTCTGTGTGACCAGATAGGGATACTCTCCAAGGGGATAGTAATGGGCCTGATTCCATGAAGTCTTGTAGGAATGATCACAGCTTTTCCTGATATAGACAGGGATCTGGGTCCAGTGGACATCCACTGGGATTTCCATGTTCTTCTGGCCCAGAATAAGAAATTGGATGGAGACATACTGGATAAATGATTTATTAAAGAGGGGGAAAGCATTCCCCAGGCTAGAAGTGCGCCAGGGCTGAGGAAAGGTCAAAGGCTCCATGGTACTTGTTCCCAGTGGTTGAGACCTTTATAGGTCACGTGTATAAATGGCTATTTTTGCTCATGCTCTCTCTGCTTCTCAGCTGCCATGGTGTGTGGAGTTTTATATCTCTGCCATGGCTTTTCTTTATGTGCTAACCTGGACTTCACTCTCCACACTGATTCAAGACAGCTATGCTAGTGTCCAACACAGAAGCAGCCACACAACAGGATGGGATTGGTTAGAATAGTTGTTGCTTCTTGGTTTCTATAGTGGCTAGATATTTCTCAGATTCCTGACCAGCCACAAGATTATTCTTCAGACTCACTTTTCATCCAAAACCAGGAATACCAAAACCTCAATATTCCCCAGCTGAGACCTCCATTACCCACAGTGAAGATACGTTCTCTTGTTTTCAGTTATGCACAAATATAACTATGTAACACAGTTAACTTCTAACAAAGGATAAATCTAAGTGAAAATTCATTCATCATGTATATTACACCTTTACATCTTAATGAATACTTTGGTTCTGGTTTGTGTGGTTTTAATATAATTTAGAATCACATTAAGTCAAAATAATTTGACTTATAAGAATTAAATTGCCAATAAACATGGGCCACAGATAACACTAATTTTTACTGTTGACATATTCTTCTGTAGTTAATCACCTGTAATTCTGTGAAGCGTTACAGAAGTGAAGTGTGGGAAATGGTATTGATTGGTTTTCATCAGCCCAACTCATCATTGTCAGTGTTTTTGCTGAACTCGGCAAGATCTAAGCATATAAGCTTTCTACTAATAGTAATAAGTATTGTCAATATTTTAACCTATGGATCAGAAATTATCTCTAATTTGCCATAGTGGATACTTCCAAAAGCACTGGGGGACTGCTCTTCTTGGGGCTTTAATTACTGAAAATCATCTGGGAGAATTTAGCCCAAGAAGTCCAGAAGGGGAAATTACTTTTGTTAATTTTTGATACTATGCCATTACGAAATAGAATTTCTATTAATAGAGTTTCCATGATCTATCTGTAAGTCAAAGGATAGGATTAAAACTGCCCTGAGCTTGCTTTATATCTTCCTGAAGAAAAATTATCTTAATTAAAGAATATCAAGCAATTCTCACCATTTGCTTTTTGTACTATATCTGTCAACTTTGCATCACTATAATGAAATACATGATACTGACTACTTAGTGAAAAAGAAAGAGCATTTGACACACATTTTTGAAAGTTCAAAGGTCCTTTCATATAGTTCACACTCTGTGGCAAGTGATACTCCCTTAGCTTCATAGCTTCACAGAACAAACAATTACACCTTAAAACAGGAGTAGACAGTGTGTGTTGGCCAAACTGCCCTCTTGTGAAAATGCCTCAAGTAGCCGAAGGAGCTTCCTGGAGGCTCTTCAAGGCTGATTAGCACTTCCCAGTAGTACTAGCCCAGAGATACCAACCCTCTATACTTAGCAAGCCCCTTGAGGACACACAACCCACACCTAAGCCAAAGAACGTATGATCTACAAAACTGAATCATACATTTAAAACCATGTTATAATTTTTCTTACAAACTTTTCAGCCAGACCTACTAAAGAAAGCTTCCTTTTGCCATTGGACCATCTTTGCTATTACTTTTAGTAAGTATAATATCCTTCCCCCAATACTTGACTTTTTGTGGGAGACCAGATTTATTTACCCCAGAGACTCTTGAGAAATGAGGGATAAGATAGGTAGAAACAGAGGGGAAAGAAACAGAGAAAACACAGGATAGTCTCAGGTGGGCCTGGATCCTTATCCCCCAGCCCAGAGCTTTATTCAAAAGGGCTGTTTATAACAATGCCAAAGGGAGGGGCAAAAGACCTCCCCCTTGCTAGTTACAGCCAAGTGTAGACCCTTCCAAATACCTAGTACTCAGGCCCATGGTCCAGTCATCCTCTTATGCAGTCCTGCTGGGTAAAACCACTAGGAAATCTAGGTGGGCTCCAACAACTTTTTTTTTTTACTTTTGATATATAAATAATTGTAAAAATCATGAAAACTAAAATAAAATGTGCCTAGGTATTTAGACATGGACAGTGTTAAGAAGCAATGTCTCTTTAATAAGCTGATTTCAATGCATTCTAAGTGAACTCAGGAACTCAAGAACATCTGCCACAAAATTTTATTCCTCTTTTTAAAAGCAAAATAATCTGTATATGCTTCAAGCAAAGAAGGGGTACAGCTCAGTGACAAAGTGCTTGCCTAGACTGTGCAGTGCCCTGGGTCTGGTCCTGCCACAGGAAAAAGAGAAAAGCAATGGGAAATGGAAAGGAAATGGCAAGAGAAAGCCAGGTAAGAAGAGGAGGCTGAGTTCAGACATCCTGACAAATGAATTATCATTGGTGATGACTACAGCCTTAGTACATAAGGGACATCAGTGTTTAGATTTATAATTTTGGAGAGTTTTCATTTGCCTTTGTTTTTAGTCTAATATAGTGGCTGTCATCCTTAGTTACACACTGAATTTCAGGGAACTCTATAAAAATTGCTGCAGCCTGGATTCCACTGCTGGATATTCCTACCTCCTGACTCTATCCTGGGGTTATAACTTGACAAGAATGTTTGCAAGGTCCCAAAATGGTCCTTATATGGATCCAAGGCATAAACCTTCTGGCCAAGCCACCTCTCCTTGCCTGTCGTACCTTCTCTTCTTGACTTCTTGTGGGACTAGAATGAACAGGTTGGAGATTCCCAAAGGCATACAATGCCAGTGACATCCAACAGTTTCAATCAGCAGACTGATAGGTGGATCTCATCTGTAGGCCATTCAACAGCACCCTGACAGCTGAGATCAGCACCACTATGGTTGATTACTGCTAGAAATATGCTTGTTTTGCTTTCTTCAGGCTCATTGTATGTACATTTCAAGCCAAAGCATTCATTCTCTTTCCTGGCTGTCCGATGTTCCTGTACATATCTGGGTCTCAGCTTCCAAATTAATAAAGGAAGGAAGATGCGTGCATTAAGTGAGTGTTTGAAAGTGATGGGAGCCACTGTCTTAGGCTATTGAGATCAGCACAAGGGTCACCCCTCATCCTGGGTGGGTGTGTTGCAAGACTCCGTATAAATGGCTGAAACTATGACTAATACCAGACTCCTTATAAGCTGCCCTTTTTCCTGTATTACAGAACTGTGAAGAGGTTTCATGTATAAATTAGGCACACGGTAAGAGATTAACAATAACAAATCAAATAGAACTATTTGAAAATAGATTGCAATAGAAGTTATGTGAATGGTCTTTCTCAAAACACCTGAACTCATTACATTATAGTGACATTTCAATGCTTTACCACAGCTAACTGAACCTGAAGAAAAAGAAATTGGTCTCAGAAAAGGGGTGTGTGGGAGAGTGTTTTGTATAACCAAGATCCATCAGGTCACCAAACTGTTCATGACTTA